ATAGCTTAAATTAATCCATTTCCATAAATCTATACCTTGCCACGTGGCTGGTGGCTTACCGGTGTCTTCACATGCTGATGGTCATGGCGGCAGCTGGCAGTGTCTCTCTGCCTCAGCCGTCTGCTCCCCAGAATTCTCCTCTCTCCTTGTCCCACCTACTTCCTGCCTGGCCACTGGCCAATCAGTGTTTTATTTATTGACCAATCAGAGCAATTTGACATATAGACCATCCCATAGCAATTTATAGTACTTAATTTTCAACCTCCATTTAGCCCTTAGTGATTGACATCCGTGCCTCAGGATGGAGAATGTCTCTACACCCTGATTACTTGATACACTCCCAGTTTTATGCTTTCAGGTACCAATTCCAAGTGTGTGTGTGTGTGTGTGTGTGTGTGTGTGTGTGTGTGTGTGTGTTACTAAACTCCTGTTTTCTCTGGTGCCATGTTTCAGGTGTCTTGTGTGTTAAATAGACTTTGAGCTTTATGAACCCAGTGTCCCCTATGAATGAAGGTACAAACACTCCACAATGCAGGTGCAAATGCAGCCTTTCTCAGCACTGCTTTCCCAAGATCCCTAGAGTCATGGTGGAAGTTTTGCTGTTACTAGTGACACACTCTGCATGGTAGAATCATGCAGGGTGAGAGCTTTGGTAATGGCTGTGCCATGTTGTTTTGTTCAGTCTGTGTCCTATAATATTTGCAGGTTGTGCAGGTTATCAAACTGCAACATCTACTACATTCTTTATGTAGGAAGAATTGTAAATTAGCTTCCAGCTGTCTTGAACAGCTTTTGCTACATGCTGTCATTTCAGAAAGTCTTTTCCACAGTCTTATACATTCCTTTGAGATTGCTTTTTAAAACAAGATTAAATATTTGATAGGACATGAAAGACTAAACAATTTCGCTTGTAGATTGCTTTTATTTAAAGTTAGAAGAATGGTATAGCAAAACAAAGAGGCAGCTGGGCAGTGGTGGCGCACGCCTTTAATCCCAGCACTCAGGAGGCAGAGGCAGATGGATCTTTGTGAGTTCGAAGCCAGCTTGGTCTACGGCGCGAGCTCCAGGAAAGGCGCAAAGCTACACAGAGAAACCCTGTCTCAAAAAAAAAAAAAAAGCCCAGAAGACATCCTGGTACAAGCTTCCCAGAGTCTTTATTCACACACACACAAACACACACACACACACACACACACAGAGAGAGAGACAGAGAGAGACAGAGAGAGAGAGACTGAGACTTCTGATTAAA